TTTGCCCAAGCTGGTTTCCTGAAGTTCATTACACTTTTCAGAACTCAATAGGGCCGATGTAAAACACTGTTCTTGCTACTGCGGGGTATGGTGAACCTGTCTTAACCTGAGAACTGACTTGGTCCATGGAAGGATGTGAGTGAGCAAAATGGCCCTGTTTGCAGCTTACAGGGTGGATAGTCTACAAATCGTACAAAGAAAGAAAAATCCCAACTCTGGAAATGACTACCAGTGTTGCTGTACACTGGGCTCAACATTTCTTTCTTTCTTTCTTTCTTTCTTTCTTTCTTTCTTTCTTTCTTTCTTTCTTTCTTTCTTTCTTTCCTTACTTCCTTACTTACTTACCAGCCATCTGGCAACCCAGGCCACTCTGGGCAGTTTACACAGCATAAAGTAACATACGAAACAAACAAACAAACAAACAAACAAAAATACAATAACAAGACAAAGTCTACATTAATCAATACAAAATTAAGCAGATAAAGATAATATCAATGGGCATTAGCATAAAAGAAAAAGAAAAAAGATGACAGGGTTAACAATAAGTTGAAACAAGATTTACATTTGCTGAACATTCTTGTCACACAGTCAGACAAACACATCACACAGAGGCAGAGTTTGCAGGATGTGCGCTGAAAGAGTTGCAAGCATATTTATGCGTCCCTGAATTGTTGCAGTGTGATCAGTATCTTTTCCTGAAATATAATATCCCTGATTCTAATAGTCTGAGACCGCCCCACAATTTGCTTAGCTTATAACATTTGTACTTACTAAATCAACCTTGTATTTTCAGTTTCCTGGTTGTTTCCAGCCATCTAGGTAAAAGGTAAAGGTTCCCACTGACAAATGTCCAGTTGTGTCTGACTCTAGGGGCCAGCGCTCATCCCCGTTTTCAAGCCATAGAGCCAGCGTTTGTCCATAGACAGTTTCTGTGGTCATGTGGCCAGCGCGACTAGACACGGAATGCCATTACCTTCCCACCATATTGGTACCTATTTATCTACTTGCATTTTTACATGCTTTCAAACTGCTAGGTTGGCAGGAGCTGGGAGAAGCGACGAGAGCTCACTCCATTGCGTGGATTCCATCTTACGACTGCTGGTCTTCTGACCTTGCAGCACAGAGGCTTCTGTGCTTTAACCCACAGAGCCACCACGTCCCCTGCCATCTAGTTACCTAGCTTAAATTCCTGTAAGTAGGTCAGACGTTCTTTAAGGTGTTCTTGAAGGGGTATACGTAGATAGCCATTCATCATAACTTGTTATCTACAAACATATAAAATAAAATTTCATTTCTGCTTTGAAAGCTTGTAGCAGTCCTTAGTCTCATACATCAAAACCTTCAAGAAAAATTTACGATGTCAGGGCTGACCACCTTATGTCTGCCTCATCTGAATGAAGCCACAGCCTGTGAGATGCACAGGAACATCTATTATAATGGTGCATCAAACACTTTCCTGGCAAGAGTGCTCTGCCCTTGCCATACCTGTGTGGAGAGGGGTGCACCACAGCAGAGAAACCGGGGCACTCATCTAAATCTGTCCCTTAAATTGGTGATTCCCAACCTTGGATCATTAGATGTTCTTGGACTACAACTCCCAGAAATTCTGGCCAGTCTAGCTAGAGCTGAATGCTTCCTGGGGTTTTAGTCCAAGAATATCTGGGGACCCAAGGTTGGGAACCACTAACTTAAATGATCCTCCAAGCATCAAATTGCATCTATAGCAAAACTAAGCTTCTAACTAGAGAAATCTGTCACCTAGTGACTGAAGATGGCATTGTAAGCTTCAAACTTACAGATATTGTAACATTTATGACACATGACATCCAGAACCCCGTAGTATAAATGCCATATTTCATATGTCTGTAATTCATGATTTTTGGCCTATTGCCCTGACTGATGGGCACATATATTTTATAATTATAGAAGATGGTTTGCTGTCACACATCACAGAAAGGGGCCATACCTTTGGGCAGTTTTTCCTAAACAGACCCCTCTGGCTATGAATTATAATCCCTATCTTCTGTAAGTAGAATATTGGGGACAATGGGGAATACAGTATAGCTCAATATATCCGGAGGATTTCAGCCTGAGAAGGTTATTGTTGAGTGACTAGTTTCATAGAATAATGGCATGGGGGAAAGTATTTTCAGGAGCAGCTCCAAAGCAACTGAACTTCCAAATAATTAAGAGGTTCAGCAAATGTAAATCTCTTTGTTTTAATGTCAGTGCCTCCTAAAAGACTGATGATAAACTGATAGATATGGAAGTGCTCTTCTACTCTAGTTGTAAAAACTAACTCATTTCTTTTCAATGTTATATCGCCTTCTTGGTCAATTGGTTTGTCAGGGTTTTTCCACAAATTTACCTCCACAAATACCGGCTGAGTTATGAAACTGAGTCCTCAGACATCCTTTCAGCACTGTTGAACCTAAGCTAATCTGTCCTAATAAACACAAGCATTGTGCTACTGTAGTGAACACATTTGACAGAACCCGTGACACTACTGACGCTGAACAGAAACTATGCCCACAACACCCAGAATTCAGAAAATGTTTAAAACTATTTTGACCTAGTGTTGTTGTTTTCAACTTTGGTGAAAGGTGTTTTCTCTCTTCACGAAGCAGGATCACTCACTGTATGGCAGTTCTTCCTCTGAATGGGTGGCTTTCCAGATACTCCTGGACTGCACTTCCCACAAGCCATAGCCAGTACAGTCAGGGGAGAAATGTGATAGTGGCTATAATCCACCAATACTTAGAAGGCCACTCTTCCCACCCTTCTGTAGCTGCTTTACAGGCAGCATGATCAGAACAGTTATACTGTAATCTTTACTGGGGCAATCCTAGACACTTATTTGAAACATTGCAGCCCTATGCACCTACTCAGAAACAAAGACTTGCTTTGGCATAAACCTGCACGGGATCAGATTGTTCTAATCTTCTCCAACCCAGTACCCTCAAATGTGCAAGTCCCATCATTGTATCATTGCTATTGCCTATGCTGCCTGAGAAGGAAGGGATTTGCTGTCATGTGGTGGACACCAGTTTGAGAGAATCTGGACGGGTAAATGAAAATCGTCCAAGCACTTCCCTCCCCACAAGAAAACATAGCAATCCAAGATTGCCAGTTCTTGCTCAGCTTTCAGCCTAAAATAGCCTATAATAGCCCTCATTAACACAACTCTCTGTTTGGGATTCTTGCTGAACTGGGTTGATTTTTTTAAAAAAATGTTTGTTTAGTGATGACACTCATTAGCACCACATGTGAGAGAAAGGCTTTTATCACCAGAAGATACCAAGCGGTTTATGGTTGTTACTTATGGTTCCAGTGCTGGACCCAAACATTTTCCTGCTTGTGGTGGAGAAGCAAATGGTGTCACTCACCAATACAATACCTGGAGCCAACCAAATTCTTTTATTACTTGATATAGAAAATCCCACAAACACTTCCTGCCCTACTTCTTAGTGCTCTTTCATGACACCCTGCCTCAGCACTTACTGGTAACCAGTTACAATCAAGGTCTTTTACCTCACTCCTTAAACTCTGCAATCTCCTCCACTCCACCCCCATGTTTGCTTAATGAGCCATATTTTCTACTGACCTTTCCTAGATATTTGCCAAGGGCATTTTCAGAGGCATGATAAAAGGGAAGTTTATGCTGTTTTCATCAGTCCTAAAATTTCAAGGCTGCTCCCCCCCCCCACCCGAAACTTTACACAATAAGAGATGACGACACCAGGTATCTTGCTCAAGCAAGAACTGCTGGATAACTCAGTGGTTTAAGGCCCAGTGGTTCTTAACCTTTGTTACGCGGATGTTTTTGAACTGCAACTCCCAGAAACCCCAGCCAGCACATTTGGTGGTGAAGGCTTCTGGGAGTTGCAGTCCAAAACTCCTGAGTAACCCAAGGTTAAGAACCAGTGGTTTAAGTGTCTGGATGCAGAGCCAGAGACTGGGAGTTCGATTCTCCACTGTGCCTCCTTGACAGGGGATGGACTCTATAACGGTCCTATAGGGCCCTTTCCAGCTCTGTATTTCTAAGATGATGATGAGCGTGTGCAGATTTGTGGGGTCTGGACAACTCTGAGAATTATATAGTCAGGATGGTATGACTGGCTGGGGAGTTTGGGGGGGTTATAATTTAAAAAAACCCATCTGCACAACTAAGAGCATCTGCAGAAGTAAGTGTGGGGCAGAGGATCTATTAATGAACACCACCTATCAATTTTAGTGTTTACCTACGTACTGTATATTTAAAGAAACACAAAGTTTAGGATTGTGGGGAGAAGGGAAGCCTTGTTGCTCTCTTGTAGGCACCCATGTGCACAATTTTAGCTCAAACCACCTCCCAAGTTCTGTTCTGCTTAATGATATATACGGGCAGCCTCTGTGTGGCTCTGTTCTTCTTTCAGTGACCAGAAGCAATCAATCCCACTGAGTTCTATGGTTTTCCAAAAATTATTGCTTCGGTGTCATCCAGTCACTTTCAACTTACAGAGATGCTTGCAGGATTGTTGAGGCGTGCCTCACATTCAAGGCATGATTTACCACTGCCAGCCTTGCCCAGGGAGTTTCCACGGCCTAGTGGTGATGTGAACCCACGTCTCGAGACTTAGTCTGCCCCTATCCCGCAATGGGGTCTGCCCCTACATACGTGTGTGCCTGTACCCCTGCAGCCTACACGGGTCCCACGAGGGAGAAAACCTTTTAGTCTTATATATGGGAGAAAACCTTTATCGGGAGTGCTTCTCTTTTAGGAAAAATGAAAGAAACCCAGACCTACGTACATATATCGCCGAGACCGCTGGCTGAGGCACATCCGCAGCGGCCGGGCCCCACTCCCGCTC